CACACGTCGATCACACTCTTCGTAACGAACTAACCCATCTGAGTTCGCGAACATGTGGGTGGTAGCGCCGGCATCGGTAGCAAAAGTACCCCGCCTAGCCTGCCCTACACCCCCTCGACCAACGACTTTGTGACACTCGCCAGAAATGCTACCGACCACCAGCGCTTCTTCTGCCACTTCGAGTGCTATGGCGTTCGCAGACGCCCCCCCCGCCGGCACTTCCACCACGAGCACCGCAATGGGGTTTCTGCTGCTGTGTGTGGGGATCGTGAAGTTGAACATTTGCTTTATGAGGGCTTGTTTCGAGACCTGTGATTCCGGATCGTAGATTTTGTCGAGTTCCGCGAGGATCTCCTTTGCGGTCTCGCATTTGTTCACGATTGCCTTGTCGGCTTCTCTGACGATGGCAGTGGTCACAAAATGGAACGCTCGGGGGCCCCTCTGGACCTCGTCGCTGGTGTATTGGAGGCGGTACAGCTCCGAGCTTGTCACGTTTGGGTTGCCGACAGGTGCATGTCTCTCGTTATTGCCGATCAACTGGCCGTCCAGTCCTCCAGTCTTGGCCGCTTGGATAAGCGACTTTCTCCACGAGTAATACCCATGGCCGCGACTCTCCCCTTCGAGACACGGGGCACCGACGGTTACTCTCTTTGAGTGGCTACTGCTGTAGCCGTCGAGGAATTCTCCATTTCCTCGGATCACGGGTATTTCACCTGAGGGGTTTAACCCCCTCGCTTCCCCGTAGTCCGGTCCTATGCCCGGGCCCACTCCGGCTGGTCTCATAGGATTCACTCCCGATCTGCTGGCCCAGCCACCTTCCAGCAGCTGACGTGTTTCTTGTCCACCATCTCTTGCTTGCTGCTGGAGAAATCCCCGCCTCCGCCGTGCGGCTGCAGGGGCTCTTGGCCTCCGGTGGCGGCAACCCAGCCGCCCCTACTGGCTGCATCCGTCACGACGCTACCAGGCTCCTTCTTGATCGACTCCTCCACCAGGGCCACCAATCGCGAAACCTGCAGTTGGAAACTTGCAAGCTCCGCATCGCTGCCCTCTTGTACCGGCGGGCGGATCTGTTCTCCGCTCGCTGCAGTGCGCTCTTCATCTCCAGCAGAGCTCATCCCAATGTGGCTTTCCTAGAGGGGCAAAAACTCTATGGAGTGTTTGCGGCCTACGCCATTTATTTCTCGGGTGAGACTGTTTTGGTGATGTATTAAACTCATGAGAGGTAGACGACCGTCCTTCACACGGACGAAAGAGGAAGTGCACAACAGCGCAGTTCCAACAGCGAAGAGGGGCCCCGTGAATCATCGCGAAGCCCCTACCAAACGGCAACCTTACCAGTCTGCGTGACACCAAATCATCCAGCACATGTATATAACACCAATGTTCGCCGACCCACGAACACTTCTCATTGCTGTTGAAATCGCCGTCCTTCAAAGCTTGGTCGGCAGTCCATCCTCGCACGTTGAACTTGTTGGGACTTTTGCACTCGCGAGCTTGCGAGACAAAGACACTACGCGCAGCTCTGCACCCAGTAAACTGGCGAGATTAAGGAGGTACAGCGGAGAAACGGCGAAGTCGTGCGCATGGGCGTGGGCGTGCCCTGCCGACCCATCCCTCCTTCTGAAACCACCTACTGCCGGACGGACCACAAAGGTTGTCTATTCGGGACCACCGGAACAATAAACCACCAACAGATATTCCACGTCCGCCGTCGAGACACGACGTGCTGCCGCACGGAACGACAAGTTCGAATACTGCACACAAGACTCACCGAAAAATCAGCCCACCTGCCCGACAAGGATTTCGCCAGCGTTGGGGGGAACTTGGAACACCCTCCTGCAGCTCGTGGAAGTGCGCGCGTTGGCGTGGGTTTGTCGAGCCCATACGTTTCGTACTTCAACCATGGTTCCTCGCCCGCGAACATGTGAAATGCGGCATCGATCATTCTCGTCATATCTATTCGTTCTTAGAACAGTCTTGGACCTCTCGCTGGTTGGGTCACGAGAATCCCATCTTGGCACCGCTCTCACCTACCTCCACTCCACATGTCCCCGTCTGCCTCATATGCTCCATTGTACCATCTTGCCCGAGCGGTAAACCACGCACATGTGCAACTATGCCGGCGTTGAGAGAATGTCCGACATACTTGCGCGAAGAGCTATCGCAATATTAGCTCACGTTACGCGACTCAAACAAGCCAAGGGTTACAGAATGGAAATGCATCGTACCGCAGAGCAATCGGATGCATGGGCCGACCAAACCGTTTGTGCAGCACAATCCAAACATGAATGCTCGCTCCCCGACAGGCTAAGTTTACGCGAGTGCCAACGGACTCACAGCATGCCCTATGTTTACTGTTTGTAGCCCACAAAGTCAACATACTTTGGGATCGATCATGTTCTTTGAGCGGTCATGAGAAAGGATGTATTGTGGACAGCATTTGGCAATTCAAACGCATGTGTACCAACGAAAATCACAACGTTTTGTGTCATAAACTGTTGCTTGTTGCCGAAAGATGGTCATGTCCTCTTCGCAGCACGAAAGCAGGGTCAACCACATCCTTCGGCTGTGGGTTTCGTTCGGTGTTCAACGACACAAACTAGCCATGCGTGTGCATCACAGCCTATCAAGACGAAGTTGTGCCCTGACCACACAAGTGTTGCACAGCGCTCAAGCGAAGCTCAACGCCTCGCTCACCCTTCCTCGCTCAACGTGCGCACCCACTCCCCGATAAAGTTGCGTTGGTCGTTCCTCACGGAAAAACTACCCGTCTCCTCGAAACTCTCAAAGTGTCCCACCATGGCGCTGGCGCATGACCCGCATCGTGTTCTCGTTGGCTGTATTTCGTGGCACACTGTCGAAAGCACGGGTGGACTCTAACCCTCCACTCACGACTGCCGTGCCCTTTTTTTTCGATTCGGACGACCCTCTAGCGAATTTTTTGTACTGTAGGTGCTCACCATGTGAGGGTCTCATCTCTCCGAACGGGCTCAAGTCTGTTTGAGAGCGAGAAAAACACGGCTTCATACTCAGTATCAAACCGAGCTGGGTTAAAGAGTATCGGCGCCCTTATTTCGCTACAGAGAGATGTTTGCAAGGCTCTCTGGCTTGTCTTGTGCAGAATTTTCTCCGATTCTGTGTGGTTTATCTCTCTCGCGCTGCTTCCGGTGGCTGCTGATCAGGCTATATCAGAGAGATTGTTCGTGAGTCTGCGAACATTGCTGTTGGATACATGTGCTGGATGATTTTGTGTCACGCAGAATGGTAAGATAACCGCTTGATAGGGGGCACCGCGATGATTCACGGGGCTCCTCTTTGCTGTGGGAGCCGCTCTTTGAGCACTCCCTCTTTCGTCCGTGTGAAAGGACGGTCGTCGACCTCTCGTGAAGTTAATACATCACCAAAACAGTCTCACCCGAGAAATAAGTGGCGTAGGCCGCAAACACTCTAGAGTTTGCCCCTCTAGGAAAGCCACATCGGGATGAGCTCTGCTGGAGACGAAGAGCGCGCTGCTG